GAACATGAAAGAAAAGATCAAGCAAGAAAAAGATAATGGAAAGAGTTCTGCTCCTTAACACCCACAGACATTTAAAAACTATCAAATGACTTTTGTAGTTGTTCTGGGCAGAGAAGGAGGCAGCGTGTGATGTGTTCTGCAGGTTGCTCAGCATTGGCACACAGCAATGTGAGCAAGTCCATTGGAGAATCAGATCCTTTCCTTACTTGCATGCAGTGTGACTCCACTGATACCTCTTTTATTAAAGACCAGCTGGCATCAAATGGAAATGAAAACAGCTGTGGCAGGTCATTAGTGATATATGTACCCTCCATTTGTACCTGTCTAGTCCAGCTCCCAAGAAATGGGTACCTACAGTGTTTTTACGACTGTAAGTTAAGACAGCACGTACCCTTGTGATGATGAGGGGACTGAGAGTCTTTCATATAGAAAAAAATCCGCTTGATTACCACTTAGTAAAATTGCTTTCACTTCCATTTAGGTGCATCAAATGAAGGTGTTTCCTCAGTGTATGCTGAGGCATTCATCGCAAGTCTAGTAGTCTCTTTGTGAAATATTTTCCTTGCAGATTAAACCCAAAGTTTCCATTGTTTAAATTTAATGTATTTTATTGCTGGTGCATCTCCTGAAGCTGCATGTAGAATTGAAAGAGGATCTAAACAGGTTTTTTACTTATTTTATAAGTAAAATCTCTGTGTTCCTGTAAGTCCCCCCTTATGCTGGAAAGTCTCCTGTGTTTGTACACTCAGAAATAAACAGAATTACTTACTGTGGCTTCATGTGCAAAGACTGATAGAGGAGATGGAGTGAGCAGTTTGGCCCTTGATACCTTTCTGAGTTTGCAGCCTGTGGCAGAGTGTTTTGTTCCTGGATATGCTGGTGTAAAATCAAAGTAGCGCGATGAACTTGAATAACTCTGGCTCCAGCTTATCATTAACTTCAAGGGATTTACTCCACACTTTAATCAGTCACTGAATGCATAATCTGACCCGGGAGGAGTGTAAATCAGTGCCTGATTTGGTCCTGAGCCAATGCTAGTGGGAGAAGTGCTTTCAAGAGATTTGATAAAAGGTATTTCTTAGATAATGAAGACTCCTACAGAAAGAGTCCTTATCAAATGTGGAATGAGTATGCTTTATCAGACATTTGTTTTCAACTTCTTCTGATCCTCTGTAAAGTAAAAACTCTGGATGATGAAGCGAGGGAGCAAGTTTTGGTCTCTTACGTGCAAGGTTATGGCATTGGGAAGTGCTGGGGTTTGTGTCACCCTGTGTTCTGCGGGTGGAGAAGGGGATGCTGGAAACACTGCGGCTCAGTGGGACTCTTTGAGAAGGAGAGAGAAAATTACTCTTTTATTATAAGGTTTGCCAAATGATCTCTGAGAAAATGTGATATCATTCATATGCATTGCCAAGCTGGAGAGATGCCGCGCATCTTGGCAGCCATCTAGAGCTAACATATAATTCCTTTGGGTTGGTATGGGCTTTATCAGAAACAGCTCCATATGCACTATTTACATAACTGTGGTGGAGTGTGAGAATAAACACAGCTGTGGCATTGCCCTAAATATTTCAATTCAGCGGGGAATTAAGGGAACTTTATCACTGAACTGCAGATAAACAGAAGTCAGTAAGCGGTGGTCAGTTTAGCCAAGGAACAAATCAAAGCTACAATGACTGGACTGCTGGAAACATTTAAGTGCTTTAGTGTTGGAGTTTACTAAGGTCATTGGTATTTTTTTGCTTTTTGAAAAATATGGAAATGCCATCAGTCAGCTGTTACACAAAAAGCATCATCCAAATGGATTAGTGAATCAAAGCAGTGTAGGCTGGAAGGCAGAAAAGGGAAGGGTTTATAGGTACAAAACACTTTCAGCATCTGATTGCAGTCATAGCCCATGGGTTTCCAGGAAGATTTTAAGTTTGAATTAGTATTTCCATCCAAATTGACTGAGGAGAAAGGACTCCTGGATCTTCAATGGAAATCTGCAAGCCTGGTTTCCTAAGCATAGTTTAGTGCCCAGATCTTATAGCAGTAGCCAGCAGCAGAGTTCAGGCAGATGAGGATTTAGACTTTCATCCTTAAGGTATGAGTTAAAAAGGTGCCCTTCCTAGCAGCTTCCACAGCAGTGATGCTTGCAGGCGTATTTCTTGGGCTGGACCAGTGCCATGGATAAAAGGAAACAATTTCAGGGCTGTCAAAGCAGCATTTATTCCCATTTCAAGCTCCCTTTCGAGAAGTGTAATACCTATTTTCCAATCTTCCTGTCACTCAGCTCAAGGAATGGGGTACACTTTCTGCAGCTGTTAGTGCATCACCATCAAACTTTGATGACTAACAAGCAGGCCCCAAAATAGCCCCATTAGAAGTCACTAAGGGCTGATATTTTAAGAGTATTTTTGCAAGCATGGCTCCATATGTGTGTGTGCATATATATGCTAGAATATATACATTGATATCGCAGTATAATGTGTATATATTAGAATATGCATAGTTTAGAACCCCTAAAACAGAATTGTTAAGAGCTGTCTAAATGTTCATTATTACTTATTTTTAAACCAAAGCCTGCTACAACTCTAACTTAAAAAGGAGTTACACACTTTTGCTGCTGTTCCATTTCAACTGAAAAAGCAGCACATTCTGATGAGTCTCTATAGTCTTTGTTCAGCAATTTGTTTACTGCATGATACGCAGTGACTCTGGAGGTGGGAGTTCCCTTATAGAAACCACAGGCTTAGTAAAGAGTGTTGTTTCACACAATCCATACAGTGCTTTAACATTTTTCAAAGTCATCACAATACTGCTGTGCTATCCAGATACTTTCTGTCTTCAAAAGAAGTATTAAAATGAGAGGTAGAGTGGAAGAAATGCTGAGTGCTGCTCCTGACTTTTTCCCTGCCTTGTCTGGGTAATGCACCTTTCCACTTTTTTGGTGGTGAAATGGGAATGCTGTCACTGACTTTATTTGGTGTGAGATCTCCCACCAATATTACTTATTGTAAGCAATAAGCAATGTTTTACTGATTACCACAATGTACTTTGAAAAGTCTGTGTAGTTTGTTGATAGCTGCCTACAAGAGTAAGTTCGAACTCAAGCCCATATGGTAGTGGAAGAGCAGTGTTTCTGATGGAAAGACAGACCAGGGTGTGGTATCTGTACGTGACTGTAGTGATCATTGGACACGAATGGATAAATCATAACCGTCAGGGGCAGCTTTTTCTCGCAGTTCATGAAAGAAAGTGTGATTGGGAACATGCCTATCTACGAGCATAGTTTTCTTATTCACCAACCCTGCATCATCTGTTAAGGAATTTTCCTTTTGTTACCTGAAATTGAATCCTCGGTGCATCCTGGAACATCTAAATAGCTTTTATTTTCAGACAGTGCTGAGCTCCAACAGTTTTACTGAGGAAACATGCATTATCGTGTTGGCTTAGCGCTTTCTGAAAAATCAACCCACTTTTTAAGCTATCCAGAAGTGATTTAGGACCCTGAACAGTTCAGCTGGTGAGTTTGGAAAATCATGACCTTTTCTATCTTTAGAGCAGTGTCTACGTGGAGACCTCCCCTTCCGAAAATGGACAAACACGAGAGCAGCAGTCCTCGCTCTCCGAGCCCCAGAGAACTGCACAGATTGAGTCTCCCTGTGTTCTGGGTTCTGCTCTGGTTTAACCAATTAATTAAAATGTCTTAATTGTTAGTTGAGCTCCAAATTGCAGGATTTTGTAATTGCGTAACAAATATTTGCATTACAGTACTGTTTCGAACTGCAACCTGAATAAATTCCACTGAACTAATTACTTTTCAGCAACAGAAAAGAGTTGTTGTGTGTCCCAGAGATTGGGCAGCAACACACAGGACAGAAGTACGTTTTTAGGCTCAGATCCCAGGTCGGATCTGTGTGGGTAATATTCAGGGGCACTCACTGTATGTGTGTAATGAAAAAACACAAGTGTGGTATGGAGTTGAGTGGTGGGCAATGACCAGGGCTTGGTTTATAAATTGCTATATAAAGATAAACCAGACTATTACTTTGTGGGTTATTTAATAAATGTTCAAGTAAAAGCAGCCCACAAGCTATAAAGAGCACACAATGCTCCACTAATAACTAATAACTTCACTGAGAACAGAACTGAAATAGCTGCTGCTGCCTCTCAAAGCATTTTTGTTGTTGTTAGCAAAGGTGTTGGCACAGGTCTCATAACCATGATGGACAGGATGAATTTGCCTGAAAACTGTGTTCATTTGTGCTTTTCAAGCCGCAGTGGTGGGGTGGAAGCCCACAGGATGGTCTAGTAAGCATGTTTTGGGGGAAAAAAATAACTTTCCACAGGAGTTTGGAGAACTGTAAAAGATGCCTGCTAGCAGCAATCATACATTTGCAGTTAGCACTTTCTTGCTGCCATTGTTAGCAGAATCTGAATGGAGCATTGAGGATGCTGGTAGATCGTGGAGGTGGCCAATTGCGGTGTGCTTCTGGTTGATGCGTAGTGGTGTCACTGAAACCACAGTGCAATCCCAAGAAAACTCCTCCGTTTGGGATAAGGGTGATTTTCATTTAGCTCTGCATATGTAAAATAAACACATTGAGAAACTCGGGGTACGCCGTGATATCCAGCTAAAGAAGGCAGCAGCTTATGCCTGACTTCTCCACAGTCATCTCCCATGCAGTTCTGGGTGATTGCCATGTTGGTGAATATGAAGAGGTGAATGCTCCTCTTGTTTTTATGTTTGAAACTCCTATTGACATGTTATATGTGAGGTTGCATCAGCATCAGCAAATCCCCTTCTGAAGGATTTTACTGTAACGCCAGTACAGACCTGACTTCAGTTAGAATGGCCCTACTCTATTCCGGTGTTGTAAAGGTAAGTTTTTAGTGCTAGGTCTTGATATCAGTATCTTTCTTTTTAACTCATTGCTAACACTAAGCAAGGTAATAAATTTAGGTGCCTAACAGTATCTGAGTGAACATAATGTTTTTCCCCCCCATTTTTCTAGACTTATTGAAGTTCATTCACCTGATGCCAAGCACACCGTGGTGCTCAGGAGTAAGGATTCAGCTACAGCCCAGGCCTGGTTCAATGCCATCCACTCCAGTGTCAATGAGCTCATCCCCAGGGTGATTGCAGAGGTCAGAGACCAGCTGGGTAAAACAGGGATTGCTGGAAGTCGAGAGATTAGGCATCTAGGCTGGCTTGCAGAAAAGGTAATAAAAACATTCTTATTTT